AATCGGTGAAGTACTTTCAGCACTATTGAAATTAACGTTGACTACTAGAAAGAATGCGATAATGACTCTCTGTCTGATGTTGGGCAACGGAGCATCAAATAGAAAATATAAAATTAAATAGTTGGGCCAAAATTTTGGCAACAACTACTAATGTGTTAAAGACTACGTACTAGTCACCTACGACATAAAAGAAATGATAGATCGAAGATCATGATGGAGAATGCTGACATGATGTATGTAACAAAAAAGTTTATTGCACGTATAATACGTATTGCAGTATTGTACGTATTGCAGTATTGCACGTATTGCACGTATAGTACGTATAGTACGTATAGGACATTCGAATTTTCGATAAATAAATCATGTTAAACCCAAAGTTATGTGTATCATATGATCGGGTAACCTCACTCTTATTTAAGAAAAGAAGAATAGTATCATTAAAATAAAATTTTTAATTTCAATTTAATTAAATGATATTAACAAGTCCTATATGACCATATATCGATTATGCCGTATACTGTATCAACTCGTGTAAATTTGATAAATTTCATATGTTTCTTGTAATAAATTTGAAACAAATTTAATAAATTTCCACGAAAGAATCTTCTTTCAATAAAAAAAAGGGTCATTTGATTACTAAGTTTATATAAATAACATGTGGGTATTTTATTGTTTTTTATAATTTCGTAATTTCGTGAGATTGTGATATAAAAAAAAAAATTTTAAGAGAAATAATTAATAAATGATCTTGTTCAATCTCCTAAAAAGATGTTCTTTTTAGAAACACTGTATACAATTCATGAAAGCATGTGAATCATTGTTTACCCATCATAAATAAATATATATATTTAGTATAGGTAATTTTTTTTTTTTTTAATTGTTTTCTTAAAATGGATCATAATTTATAATCGTATAACAGATAACCCTGATTTTCATAAAATTTTTTTAAAAAAACATCGATTTGATATAAAAAAAAATTTGATACGCAAATCTTATTTATTTCCCCGCATATTTTTAGTTACACGCGTATTTTTCATCCATTCATTCCAAAAAATTTATTCTATTTTATTTTGTGAAAAGTGATATAAAAAATCATATCAATCTCTTATTCGAAAAAAAATCTTTCCTTTAAAAGGAAATCGATTTTATCGTAAAATCTTGTCTTTATTCTTACATTAAAGCGATGATTGAATAAATTGTTTATTTATATTTCTTTTAATTTACAATTTTACATATTCCGATATTTAATTCGTATATTATAATCAAATAAGGTCATGAAAAAGATTTTCCACATGTTTGCCATGTTACCATGTTATCAAAGTTATTTGATTAAAAAAAAATTAGGTCATATAATGAAATTTTAATCAAATCAATCAACCATTATATGATACAAATTATATTAGGAAAACAAAAGATGTAAAAAAATATTTCTCAGATATCTAATTTATCATTCTATTAATGGTATATCAAATTATTCAATATAACTTTCTTTTTAAAGTATAACTTTACCTTTAAAAAAAAAAATTGATTGTCTTGGCTTTTTTTATACATATAAACCTCTTTTGTACTTACTTTAATATAGTAAACTTTTTATTTTTGGCACAATATTTCTAAATTATTTAAAAAAAGTAATATATATATAATATATATAAAAATCAAAATAAGCAATTGATCATTGAAAAATCTTCGAAACTCTTGATTTCTAATGATTAAAAAGAGAAGATCATTACGTTATTAGGCATCGGAGTGTTTTTATATGAAAGAATCAAAGTTGGAATTGAATTGTGTAACCGTGATGATATCGGAGAAAAAATCAATTCAACTGCGTTTCAATTGTGTAACTGTGGCGCATCATGTCCTCACTTTTAATTTCCTAACCAATTCTAATACCTAAATATAATTCATTTTAGTAAATAAAATGAAATCATTGTGGCGCAACATGCCTACTATTCCTTTTTAATTAAAAAAATGAATCATACGTGGCGCTACTTTTGGCAAAATAATAAAAAAAATGTGTTCGAAATCTACGAATGTACTCTTTTATTATTATTTTTTTCTGATTTATTTTTAAATTTTTATTTTCACAATAAAGAGGATCCATTTTATTGTCATAATAACATCAGTTTTTTACAAATCGAACTTCTTGGTATTTTTGAGAAGGTAATTAAATATTTTAAACAAATTTGGTTAAGATCGATGAATCTTGAGGCTTCTAGAATATTCTTGGTTAAATGTTAAAATCATCATCCGAGATTATTAGTGATATGATATGATATTCTTTTTTGTGCCGCAACTCAAAATAGGAAAAGTTTTATATATCATGATCAATCTCGTGATTAATCGGATTGAAGGAAATACCTATTTCCGGTTGACTCAGCCGTAATACTGGGATGTTACACAAACTATGTCACCAGCTCATGCAATGGCACAACAATTTAACCGATTAACCGATTTTTAATTGCATCGGATTAAAATTATTACCGATACTAAAAATAAATACTAAAAATAATTGTTTTTTCTCTGAGGAAAGTAAGATGAACAAAATATTTACTTAAAGAAATATGGTGTTGTTTTCAACTAACGAATGGTTATAATTTTTATTATGGAACCATATTTAGAATTAACATCACAATTCTGACCAATAAAAATCATTGTAATTTCAACTACATGAAACTGCGGATCTACACGTGACATCTCCCTTTTAATAAAATCTTTCGCATTGTTTTGTAAAAGTGGTAAAAAAGAAAAAAAGGAAAAAAAAAAAAATTTTTTTATTAATTTTTTTTAAGAATAAAAAAAAAAAATACAATGGTAAAGCATAAACATTAATTCAATAGTCTTTAACTCAATATAATGTTACACAATATGTACGACGTTCGATCGAAATAATCGTACATTAACCATTATTTTTTCATTATAAATAAAAAAAAAAGGGATAAAAAAAAAAGGACTAAAAATAGAAATTTAATAAAGAAAACTTTTTATAATAAAAAATGTCATTAATAAAATGATTAAATGAAATATAATGAAATAGTAAAAAAAAAAATTTTGACGTGATTTTAATGATATGCAAGGATATTTGAAAGGATCAAAAAATTTGATTGTTGTAGATAACTTTAAAGTCCGAAATAAAAGGATGCTAAACCATATAAAAACATTTAATAGTACGCGAAAAGGATAAATTGATATGCAATATAAAAAAGAATCTGTAGTACAGATTGATCGATTGGTATGACAGGAGCGATACTTTGTGTTTTTGACTCGGGAAAAAATCGATTGTTTTTGTTCTCTTGATATATTCTAATATTGTTAAAATACAAAGTTCAATAGAATAATTTTTTATTTATTATATTTAAATGGTGTCACATAATTCGGAAAATTCTGTAAAAAGCGCGCTACTTTTTAAAATAGACACGTAATTTATTAGGTTTAGTTTAATCTCACTGATGCGTATAATTATTTATTTTAATATAAGCAATTTAAAAAAAAAAAAAAAATTTTTTTTTTATTTATTTTTTATTTTATTTTATTTTATTTTTTTTTAAGGTTTCGAGTTTTGTGATTCTATTATTCTATTACTTTACCAATTTCGTGGTTTTTGGCTTGCATATGTCTAACCACTTTTTTATGTATATAAAATTCTTTTTTTTTCGTGTAAATTGATGTTCTTTCCTGTATAAGTGATAGAAGAAAACATTAGATTAAAATATTAATAATATGATTTATAATTTAATATTTTATCAATATAAATTATTATATTTATATATTTATTTATATAATCAAAAGATTTAATTGAAAAGTTCGCGCATTTTCATATAAACATATCAAGATTCATTTTGGTTTGTTTTTCATTCAGTTTATTTTTCGGCGAATGCCGAGAAAAATGAATAATAATATAATTTTTACTAACTTATGATTCTTTATTATTATTCTTTATTATTATTATTTATTATTATTATTAAAAAAAAAAACTTTCAAAGAACTATGAAAACAATAAAACACTTTTTAACTTGAACACTTTTTTTTTGAAGAAGAAAAAAAAAGTCGTAAAATAAAAATATATATTATATATATATTATTATTAATATTAAATTTATATAAAAACAAAACTTTTTGTATATTTACAATTTTATATTTACATTTTATTAAAAAAAAAAATAAAATTTTTTTTTATTTTTTTTTATTTTATTATTTTATTAAAATTTTAAAATTTTTTACTGTTTTTCAAATTTTTTTTCAAATTTTTTTTTTCTTATTAATCATATTTTATTTATATAAAAAAAATTCTTATCTTTAAAAAAAAAAAATCTTATATATATTCATCCATAATCTTAAATAATCTAAAAAACCTTTCGAATTATTTTCCGCCAAACGAAAACAAAACCGTAAGAAAAAAAAAATCTACGACTTTTTTCGTTCCTTTCTTTCTTTCTTTTTTTTTTTTATGCCAATTTTTTTTTTTTAATATTGTTTTAATATTTATATATACATTGAAAAGAAAAAATAATTTATATGTATTTTTCGAAAGTATGGAATAATGCCGATTGAAAAAAAAAAATACGCTAATTTTGTTAATTTTGCTAATTTTGCTAATTTTTGCTAATTTTTGCTAATTTTAAATATTCGCTATTTACATTAAATCGATGATGATAATATTCTATTATGTATGCCGAAAGATAATAATATATTATATGTTGTTGTCTTCTAAAAAAAAAATAAAAATGTTTCTTAAAAGAAAAAGAAAACCCGCTAAATCTATATCACTTCCATTTGAGCCAACTGCGGGATTGGCGATTAACTAATATATTTCGTGTAATATGATGATAATATATATTTTATATATATATATATTTTTTTTTTTTCAATAATAAATAATAGGTTGAATAAGAATAAAGGTATTATAAATATATATCCAATTAATTAAATATTTCATTCGGACCGGGATTAATAGAAGTGAGTATATTATTATTAATTAGTCTGCGTACGTACACATATATTATATACATTATATTAAAAATTTTTTTTTTTTTTATATATATGCGTGAAAAAAATAACTAATTCCCGCAGTTACCGCAGTAAAGAAAAATTCTTTTAGAAGAATAAACGCCCTTTAATTAATTCTTCATTGTTCTGAACGAGTTTTAAATCTTGGTAAGGTGAATATGAAGAAATTTTTCGTACTTCAACGACTACATCTGAAAAGACTCCATCTGAAAAGACACCGTCATTAAATGTGTCCATAGGTGATCTTCTCCAGTTTGCCAAGAAATTTTCTCTTAACCAAGGAAGATTCCTTATAAATCTTCTTACAAAAGCATAGATTTTATTTAAGAAAATATCTGTTGGATCAAAATCTGCAATACTGCTTCGATTACTTCCAGCGTCACTATAATTTGTAAGATTTTCCATTTCCATACTATGTTTATCATCATAATCAAAGTTTTGGAAATCACCACCATGTACACTTGAAGGTGAGGAAGCGAATTCAACACGATGAAGTACGACTTCGAATTTTTGTCTTACGGAAAAATGTTGTTGATTTGGTTCTTCAAATATAGGTCTTAATTCAAATCTTTCTTCTGGATCAATAACACTAAAAGATTCCATTTCTTCCGTCCAATCTTGACTTAAGAATTTTTCTCTTAACCAATTTTGTAATTGACCAACATCATTAAAACCTGTAGTTGGAACTTGTGGACCTTGACCACCTGTCATAGATTGAAGGAGTGGGGCAATAGTTCTACCTAAGAAAGGTCTCATGGCATTTAAATTATAATTTAAAACGATAGTTCCACTCATATAAGGAGAATAATTTGTTGAAGGAATAACAATATTTTGAGTTTGAACGAAAGGTGAAGTAGCAGCAGAATTTGGAGGACGTTGATATTGTGGTGATGGCAATATATAAGAAACTGAAGGTTGTTGTTGTGCAGGAACTTGAAGTTGATTTTGTGGAGATAAATGTAATGATTGAGGAGAACCTTGTTGTAAATATTGTGATCCAGTAGAAGTAGGAATAACAGGATTATTAAGATTCAAATTATAAATAGGATCTTCATCATCAACAAAATAAGAAGCTGAAGGATTTGCGAATTCATCCTAAAAGTAATAATAAATTATTAAAAAAAAAAGGTAAGAAAATGAAAATAAAAAAAATTTTAAAATATTTTAAAAAGTCATTAAAAAAAAAGAAAAGTTGAAAGTACCTTGGAAGGAATAGTAGGTTGACAAGCGGACATCATTTTTTGGAAATGTTCCCATCTTAATCTAGCAGCATTATCTAATTCTTCAATTTTTTGTTTTATAGCTTTAATTTCTTCATCTTCATTATGTTGTTGAGGTTCTTCGTTAAATACAGGAGGGGAATAACTAGTATATTGACATCTATGTTTTGACTTTTGACAAGCTGTGCAAGAAGGAGTTTTTCTATCGCATTTAACCTTTCTCTTTTTACAACTTGCACATGAACGATTAGGATGACCTAAAGTTGCTGACATTGGGGAAGGAGGAGGAGTAGATAATAAAAGTGATTGATGGAAAAGATGTTGTTTAAGAAGTTGTTCCAATTCTCTACGTTGTTGCTCCTCTTGTTGAAATTGTTCAGGAGATAAAAATTGTTGTTGCTGATAAAACATTTTCTGGTTATTAAAAAAAAAAAATAAAAAAGGGGAGGGATGTTTTAAAGCCCTATTTATATAGATTTTTTTATAATATGAAAAGTGGTTTTAACTGATTATATATTAATTTTTTTTTTTTTATACAATTAATATATTTGAAATGAATTTTGAATTGTGTATTATGATCTAAAAATTAATTAATTAATTAATTTTTTTTTTTTAAAGTAACAAAAAATTAAAAAAAAATTTTTTTTTTTTTTTTTTTTTTAATTATTTATTTTTTTGTTAACAAAAAAAAACAATGGTAAAAAATGAATCGAGAAATTCAAATACTGTGATAAAATTTAAATTAAACTAATAAATATAAATTTTTTTTAAACACATTTAAAACGGATTAAAGTTAATTCTTTTTGGAAATAAGAAACTCAATGCTTTTTTTTTTTTTGGACCTAATTTTAATAAAAAGCATAAAAGCATGAAAAACTCCTGAATAATCACAATCAACTAATTACAAATTTATTTTAATTGGATATATAATCATACATTTATACATTTATTTCAACCGTTTTACGATAATATTTCATTTTCATGTTCTGCATTATTATATTATTTCCTTTTTTTTTTTTGTTGATATTTCCGAATTTATCGGTTTTATTGTAACTAAATATTGCTAACAAATACTTTATTTTATTCCAGTTAAAATTACGGAATTTGGAATCCCCTGTGAACCAATTTTATTTCAAAAGACCGCAGTACGGATCGTAATCACTGTCGTAATTTTTAGTAATTATCAGTCATTGTTAACTATTTTGTTATTCTCTTTCGGAGATCCAATACCGATATTTACACTTTTTATAGAAAAGAAATTTCCACGGAGTTCAATTCAGGTTAAAATGATGTCGTTGATGTCGTGTAAATTTTTTAAAGGAAAATGATTGTGATAATTATGACAACAATTACAGCGGCTTTCGTTATATTATATACGAATTTATATATATAAATGTGTTTGTGGTGTGATATGTATAATAAGTATAATATGTTGTGGATTATGGAGTTTTCTTTTTCGAATTACAATATTTACTACGCATTGATTCCTGTCTCTTATACACATCTAGATGTGTATAAGAGACAGGCATTATTATATTATTTCCTTTTTTTTTTTTTGTTGATATTTCCGAATTTATCGGTTTTATTGTAACTAAATATTGCTAACAAATACTTTATTTTATTCCAGTTAAAATTACGGAATTTGGAATCCCCTGTGAACCAATTTTATTTCAAAAGACCGCAGTACGGATCGTAATCACTGTCGTAATTTTTAGTAATTATCAGTCATTGTTAACTATTTTGTTATTCTCTTTCGGAGATCCAATACCGATATTTACACTTTTTATAGAAAAGAAATTTCCACGGAGTTCAATTCAGGTTAAAATGATGTCGTTGATGTCGTGTAAATTTTTTAAAGGAAAATGATTGTGATAATTATGACAACAATTACAGCGGCTTTCGTTATATTATATACGAATTTATATATATAAATGTGTTTGTGGTGTGATATGTATAATAAGTATAATATGTTGTGGATTATGGAGTTTTCTTTTTCGAATTACAATATTTACTACGCATTGATTCTTTTTTTAATCTTCTGGGGTAATCTGGGTAATGTTATTATTGTTATATGAAATATTGGGTTAGTGACTTAGTAGGTTAGTGGGTTTTTTTTTTGTGATTTAAAATTTATAACTAAAATTAATTGGGTGAGACATTTTTGCGATAATAATATTTTTTTTTTTATCCGAATGTTTATATTTTTAACCGAAAATTTTTCTTTTTTTTTTATATTTTTAATCTTTTTAGTAATATTTAGTAATTATTTTAATATTTTAGTAATACTTTAGTAATTTGAATTTGGAATTAAGCCATTTTTACTAATTAGGAAAGTCAAAAAAATAATTATTATGATTTCAATGACGAAGACAGTTTATTCAACGATACAGATAACAGATACAAACTTATTTTTAAAAAATTTCCAAATTTGGACCCAATCCCAATGAGTTTTATAATTTTTTTTATATTCCAAATGGTTAATGAAATTTTATTGATTATTGATTGTTGTTTTACTTTTTTTACTTTTTTTTTTTTTCGAAATCAATTTTAAATGAATGAATTAACAATAAATTGATTACTAATCTGCTTCAAAATTTTTAATTCTTTTTTTCGCAATTCTTTTTCGATTTTTGGTTAAAACAATCGTATAATTAAACATTGAATGCCAATAGGCAACANTTTTTTCCGTAATATATCAAGAAATCAAGAAAAGGAAAGAAAAAAAATTAAAAAAAAAATTAAAAAAAAAATACAATGAAAAAAAGAAATGAAAAGGTAAAAAAAAAAAAATTTTTTTATATAAATTTTTTATATAAATTTAAACGGTTTTGTAACGTTTTCGCGAAATTATTAATAATTTTTTTTTTCGAAAAAAGAAAAATTTTTCGATTTTTCCAATTTTTTTTACCAATATTTTTTTTTTCACGAATTTTTTTCGATTATGAATGGCGTAAATAGGCGAAAATTGGGAAATTATCGGAAAATGATCTCCCTCAATTCTTTTTTTTCATATAAAATTTAAAATATCACAAAAAATTTACCATTTTCAATGACGAACCAATCAGATCTAAGCATTTTTGAACTTATGTATATAAATGTAAATATATAATAATAAAAATTACCGTATCATAAATTTTCCGATATATTTAGTATTTTGGCGGTCAAATAACACTTTAAGGTATAGAACATGGGCGCATTTTTTTTTTTTTTTGGAGCTTTTAATTTTTTTTTTTTTTTACTACACTTTACATTTTACATAAAAAAAATAAATTGATTACTAATCTGCTTCAAAATTTTTAATTCTTTTTTTCGCAATTCTTTTTCGATTTTTGGTTAAAACAATCGTATAATTAAACATTGAATGCCAATAGGCAACAACTAGGAAAATTCTAGTAAGTACTATTTGTACTATTTTCTTTGTAAAATACTTTTTAAACATTATTATATATTTGTATTATAATAACATTCAGAATTGTTGTAACATTAAGGAACCATCAGGAACATTTCAGGATATTCAAAAATTTAAATATTGTTTGTATTTTTTTTAACAATTTTTAGAAATTTTAACTATTCTTGTCGATCCAAATTGTACTTTCATACTTTGAAACAATATCACTATTTCACTATTGGCTACTGCGCTTTTGCTGTGCAATTTCCTAATTTTCCGTAGTATTTGTTTTTATTCTCTTAAATAAAGACATACAATGGACTACTTCATCGGAGTAACGCTTTGTAATCATTTCCGTGAAAATTCAATAAAAACTCAGTATCGTTAGTTTGAATTGGTTTAAACTTTAATTGGTTTATACAATGAAAATGATTTACCGCAGAAGAAAAAAATCTTTTCAATGAGGAAAATCTTAAAGAAAAAATATATATATATATATATATTTTATGTAAACGTAAAAAATCACTTGGATACTAACCCAATTTATCCAAATTTAAAAAGGTATCCTAAAGATTTGAATTCGGAAACTGGTTAAATTAATTAAAAAATTAATATTAAATAACCTTTTGGATCTCCTAATTATTATTTTGATTAAAAATTACATTTATTTACCCGAAAAAAATGTACGTAAAATATTCCGTAATAATAATGTCAGACATAACAAACAACGTTTGTGTTTCCTAAGAATTACCCTTAACCTATCCTTTATTTAGTAATCATTAATCTATAACACTGCTCACTCATAGTTATTTCATATAACACTACTTTTTCATTGTGATGAACTAATTTTCTGATTATATAATAAGTTTATATAATAACTGATAGCATTATATAATAATAATTTTTTTTTTTTTTTTTTTT